GCCTGCGGTCGCAGTCGCTCTTGTCCAGATTTACTGATTTGCAGCGAAGCATCTGCCATGAACACATCTGCCATGAAACCCAGAATGTCTAACCAGTGATTTGATAGTTTTGATGTAGGGTTTAGGGTTAAGCATCGCGTCCCAGTGCATCAACGAAAAAAGTTGTGGTGGCCCCATGGCCATGTTTGCCCAAGCCACTCCCCAGCGCGGAGAAGTTGGTCTGAGAGCCGGCGTCCCGCTCCTTGGGTTAGTGCCAAAAGTTTAGGGTTTAGGGTGTAGGCCACACCTCTAAAGCTAAGCCTCGTCAGCACCCTGACAAGGCAAATATTGAACCCGAATGCTTGTTTCTGTCATCCATAAGATGAAACTCTACATGCAGAGTAAACCCCAGCGCCCGAACTCTCAAACACAGCGAAAAGCCGCGTTGTGAACTCGTTATTCCAACACTTCGACGTCAATCATTTGAGCTAGCACCGTGAAAGCGCCATGGATGTGTTTCTTACACGGCATGGCGCCCGCATTGACAAGGAAGACAGGCAAGAGACAACCCAGAGTTTTAAGGTACGAGTTAAGTTAAGGGTGTCAGTGTCAGAGAAGAGTTTATCGGTTTAACATTTATGCATTCGGACACCTGTTCTGAATCTCGGTGGCCCGGTTTCATGTATTTAGATAAATATTTAAGCTTTCAAGGGTGGCTTATCTCAAGGTTCTGGTCCTCGTTGCAAGATTCTTCGCTTTCCGAGTCACGGTATTTGCATCCGAGTGAACCTGGGCGGCCCCATACGATTTCGGTCTAGGGTATGCTGCGTGGGGCTTCAGTCTATCAATTCTTTGGACACCCCAAAAGCCTTAAACCCGAAACTCTCAACCTAAGCTGTGAGCCTTTCTTAAATATTAAACCGTACTTCTTCGGCACCACACCCCGAAACCCTTGTTGGCAGGAATTGGCTAGCCAGAGCTGGCCACAGAAGACCTTTGGACAAAGCATCGAGTTCGGACCTTCGGGGCGTTTGACCCCTAAACCCTAAACCCCAAACCCTAAACCCTGAACCCTAAACCCTAAACCGTCAGAGTCAGGCTGGAGTTATGGGTGACGTCTCCGGGGTGCTTAGGGTCTGGGCTTAGGTGTCGTTGGCTTGCTTTGCAAATCATAGACTGCCCGAGACCTACTGTCTGAAAATGTCGCTACAATGTTCAGGAAGACGAACCCTAAGCCACCAGTCCTACGGTTGATGATACAAATCTTGCATTACCTTAAGGACCCTAAACTATGGGGATTATGGTATATTCCTTATTATGGGTAATGCAGGATTTATAACATCAACCGTAGCGCTCTTAGTAGCACATGTTCTTGAAAGGCTTTTGCACTTAGCACCCGAAGCCCTAAACCCCAGCCCTAAACCTCCAAAGCCCCAAGTGTTCCCATGCGGCACTGCTTTCAGCACTCAAACCATCAGGAGTCTAAACCCTAAACCCTAAACTTGGCATCCTGAAGCCCTGAACACGAAGCCTGAAGTCCAAACCCGAGCTTGGGAGTAGGAGCTTAAGGCAAGTAAGGTCTAGGTTTTGAGGCCATAACGCCAAAAGGCGTTGAGGCTGTAACAATAGGGCTTTAGGTTTTCCGCCTTAGAGCTTCAGGGTTTCGGAGTTTAGGGGTTTAGGGCGCAGAACTGCTGGAAAGGCTAACACAAGACAACGTTACTGCAATGTAGAGGGTTCGGGGTTGAAGGCCCCAAACAAACCCTAAACCCTAGTTATCGGTAGCTAGGTTTATGTGGAATGGGCTCTTAACCTACGCCTGCCAGCAAGAGTCAAGAAAGTGGAGATATGCTCGTGAGAATGACTTTCAGGGACCATGTAGCCTTGAAACTTATGGCGCCCTACGTTATATCTACACAGCTCCTGAATGTGATTCTCAAAGGCATGTCTGAGCTGTCTTGAGTTTTGCTGCATGGCTTCAAAAGCCCAACTTTTTCCTTCCTCATAACCATTTTTCAAACAAAGTTGGCGGCGCCAGAACGAAATCAGCCTTCCCCCCCACCCCCACTCCAAACCCCCCTTCCCCAAGTAAAGGTAAATAAAGTCCGATGCTGGCAGCGCCGAGAATCCACAGCGAAAGCTTCCAAACCGCAAAACCTGCAGGAAAGCACGCGGCCTGTTACGTGTCAGGCCCTAAATCCCGAAGCCCCAAACTCCCCAGAAGCCCTGAACGCCAAAACCCTGAAATCCTAAAGCCCCAAGCCTTAAACCCTAAACCCTAAACCCTGAACCCTAAACCCTAAACCCTAAACCCTGAAGCTCGAGCAGAGGATCGGACGATCCGCACCTTTCGCCTGGCGGGGAAGTGGCAGCTTCAGAGCTGGCGGCAAAGCCTCCGGACTGATTTAAAGAGCCCACGGTTTAGGGTTTGGGGTTTAGGGTTTCGGGTGTAGGGTTTAGGGTTTAGGGCTGATTTTGTGTGGATTTAGGGTTCCCTTTAAGGGAACTGTAAGGGTTCGTTTAAGGGATTTGCAAGTGTTCCTTTAAGGGATCTGTAAGGGGTCACTATAACAGTTTACGTTACAGTATGGTTGAGGGTTTATTTTGTTCTGTGGTTTGGGGTGCGGGTTCAACGGTAAAACGGTTTAGGGGTTGAGAGGTTCAAGGGTTTCGAAGCTCAGAGTCTAGGGTTAAGGCTGTTGGAGTTTCGCAGTTTCGGGTTGGGGCTTTGATTCAGCGTTTGTGGCGGAAGCCGAAGCCGCCAATCTTCAATGCGCACAGATTTTGCAGTTTATGCCCGGGAGGTTTGGCCCAAGGGTCGGACGGAGTCTTCCAGCCGTGCCATGTAGAATTCAGGCCTTCAGCCTGAAACAAAAAACAGAAAACATTCTTGTGTCATACCAGCTGCACTGCTACACCCCAAGAGACACAAGCGAATTCGGATCTGTGGCTATTCTTACGCAAATACTTTATTTGCCGAACGGCAAGCAACACCCAAACAAACCACTTGATAGGCGAAGGCAGAGTACAGAGGTTTACGGCTGCCGATTTCACGCCATCTCCGTAGTGCAGGAGCTAACTTTTGCCTTTTTTGGGGTAGGTACTCTGACCCTCATATAATCCCAAAGGTTAAGGTCCAGTTCCCCCAGAATCCTTTGTAGAGAGGCAGCTCTGCTGCCTCAAGCCGTTTGGTCTCGGATTTATGGCGGTTGTCGGTCCAGCCTCGGATGCCTTCTAAACTCTAAAGTTTACCTGGGCCCTAAATAACCTTTTTCATTTAAGGATTTATATCAGGCACTCCAAATAAGGAGCCCAAAAAAGGTAGCCTGCTTCGGTTCCGATAAACCCTCGCCCAACCCCAAACCCTAGTTCAAGATTCTGACCGAAACCCTAAACCCTAAACCCTAAACCCTAAACTCTAAACCCTAAACCCTAAACCCTAAGAAAGCGGCAGGCTTGCCAAGGCCGGGCCGGGAAGACAGTGCCAAAGCCTAACCATGCACGTTGACTTCGGTTTGAGGGTTTAGGGTTTAGGGGTTAGGGGTCGGGGTTTCATTAGGGGTTAGGGTTTAGGGGTTTAGGGTTTCAGGATTTAGGGTATAGAGCTTTTAGGGTGCGCAAGAAACCCCAGCATCGATGCCTTCGGCCCGGTATTTGGAAGCCCCCGACTTGCCTTTGCAAGCGACGAAGGCTCCAAAGTATTCATGCTTCTACGCTGCTTGGATGGCACCAAGCCTTCTGAAACGGGGGAACTTCTTATGCAGAAGATTCCGACCCTACATGTTAGTTAGCATCATCTGTCTTTGTTATGAGCTTTTGCGGTCTGCAGTGTTTGCTTAGATTCCATCGGTCTCGGTTTCTGTGGCAGCCAGAGGTTTAGCTGGAATCCGGATGCCCTGTTCCGAAGTTGGTTGGATCAAATTTCTTCCAGGTGCTTTCCTAAACCCTAAACCCGTCATTGGAGTCTTATACTTTTGCGATTGGGAGAAAAAAACCCTAAACCCTAAACCCTAAACCCTAACTTGGGGCGGCGCCCGAAGCGTAAGGTCATCCTTGAACCCCTTGACCCTGCACCCGGCACCTCCCTCTATTGCCCAACCTTGGTTTCCGCACTCCTGGTGCCCGAAAAGCACGGTAAATCCCAAGCCCTCCAAATACAGGGTTTAGAGCAGCAAGGGTGGGCCAAACCCTGAAGCAAAAGCCCCAAACCCTAGACCCTAAACCCTCTGTGCTGAGGCCTGAACCTTTAACCCGAAACTCCGAGACCGATGCAGTTTCCAGAGCTTACATCGTCCTGCCGAAACCGGAAACTCCATTTTTCCCTGCGCAGGCCGATTTCGCACATTATCTCTTCACCCTTTGTGTGCCGGGCTTACTTGAGGTGCAGGTTGGCTCTTATTCAAGGTAAACTTACGCTTGGCTCATTGTAATGTATGTGCACAATGTTTGAATGCATGCATGCATACAATTGCAGGCGCTGAGATCCGGGTGTACATATGCAGGATCATCCGGTCCCTCCTGCATCAAAGCGGATTCTTCCTGCAGTGAGTCCATGCGATGGTTCGTACTAGTTTGTAAGGCTGCGTGAAGAGGACCAGCAAACGGTGAGGATTGAACGTTAGCTGGAAACACACGGGGGCCGCGCAAACTCCAGCGAGCGGATTCGAGACGCGAAGTCGAATCCGCCGCGCCTGCGAATTCACCTGGATCCTGTGAACCTTCATACCCTCGCCTTCTGCCGCTTCTCAAAGCCTGAGGGCCGTTGTTGTGCATGCTTTTGGGGGCCTAGGTAGACCCTAAACTCTAAACTCTAAACTCCCACTGTTGACCCATCTTCGGAAGACCTGCACATGACAAGCCGGTGTTCTTGAAGACTGTTGGGCTGACGTAAATTTGGGGCAGCTGACAGCTCGGAAGCAAAGGGGAGTGGACTGGCTCAAAACCCTAAACCCTAAAACCCTAAACCCTAAACCCGAAACTGCATCAGCTTTTGGAAGGCTGTACCTTTGTGCTGCCCAGCCATGTTTCTTACGCTGTTTGCCCTTGCTGTTGTCCGCTCTGCTTGTTCTGACGGACATGACCTGAGCTGTAGTTTGCAGAAGAGGCCACCCGGGCTCCTGCGACTGGACACGGAGGAGCCTTCGCTTGAAGAGCCTTTTGCAGGGCCCGAGTCGCGGCCTGATGAAGGGCCCTGGTCCACGCCGGGCGTGCGCTTCCAGGAATGTGGCCGAAGGAAGAACCAGAGACGTGCGACGCTGTCAACGTTGCTCCAAACTGTGGCACTCGACCGAGGCCGCGAGAAGCCTTTGCGTGACCGGGTCAGGTGCCGGACCGGCCAGATGCTGATTGGCAACTTTGTGGGCAACCAGTACAGCTTCACTTGTTGCGATGCTGGCCAGCAGTGCGGAGGCTGCCGCAAGATTGTAAATGGCGCCTGCCAAGAATGCGCCGCTGGCTACGTCCACCAACAGATCCCGCTTCTGAACGTAACGAAGTGCTTCTTGTGTGACGATGTGCCTGGATGGCAAGACGCCCACGGCCTCGGCTGTCGGGACTATGAATCCCAGGGTTTCTGCCACGGCTTCGTAGAGGCCGGCCACGATGACCCCTTTCACGGAGTGCGGCCCAGTGAGGCCTGCTGCGCATGTGGCGGGGGCAGCGTGCAAGCCACGCCCACTTCCATGCCCTTCGCCCAGAAATCCCTGGTGTATGGGGATGTCGTCGATGAGTTCCCGGAGCCCCAAGCCTTGGGAAGTGAGCTCAGCAGCTGCAACCTTGCGCAGTGGGGCCTGCATATCTCGGGGTCCCCTGGGCGGATTCAGGGCAACATCTCATCTCCCAGCCAGAGCAGCACGGAGATCAAGTGCTCCTTGGTGCTGATGCAAGATCCCATTCGAGGAATCTCCGCGACAGTTAGCCTGAAGATTCCGGTGGCCTCGTTCTCTTACGGACAGCAACTGCTGGTCTTCAAATACTGGGGTTTGGATCCGGAGCCAGCGACGAAGCCCTTTCCTCTCCACCAACAGACACTACCGCAGGGCCAGTTCTTGGAGAATTTCCGGCTGCACTGCAACTGCCCGTGCCCGGGCAAGCTTTTGGCAGCTTGTGTTTCGGAAACGTGAACCCGATCCCTGTGCCCTAAACCCTAAACCCTAAACCCTAAACCCCGAACGACTTGACGACCTTCCAGAGACATGGCATGAACGCACCAGGTGGCTTCGGATGCTGCCGAACAGCGCGCTCGTGGCCGGACCGCTGCCGACGCCTCCGGAGGTCCAAGATGTTTGGTATGATTTACCCTAAATTTTCCCAAACTCTAAACCCTAAACCCTACCCTAAACCCTAAACCCTAAACCCCTAAACCGTTAAAAGCCAAACCTCCTAAACCCCAAAGGCTAAACCCTCAACCCTAGTTGTCAGAACAGCTCAGGTCTCTTAGGTTGTGCATGGCCGGACGTCTAGTTCCTAGTTCTCCTGGCGCCAAGTTGCCCACATGTTCCCGAATGTACCCGCGAGACTGCGAGAGATGGTTTCAGGGTTTATTCAACGCCCGAAACCCCTAAAACCCGAAACCCTAAACCCCTAAAGCCCTAAACCCGTAACCCCCTAAACCCCTAAACCCCAAAACCCCAAAACCCCCAAACCCTAAACCCTTTATTCTAGACCCTAGACCTTAAACCCAACACATCACAAGCCGCTTGAGGTGCAGGGGCCTTCCCTCTACGGCTCGGGTGTGCCCTCCTGCGCCTGCCAGGTTGGGAGTTGCGGTCATTTCCCTAAAGCTCACCACGGTTTAGGGCTTAGAGATTAGGGTTTAGGGCTTAGAGATTAGATTTTAGGGTTTAGGGTTTAGGGTTTAGAGATTAGGGTTTAGGGCACCCTGCTCAGACCCCACGGCACATGGGTAGTTCTCTAAATTAGGGTTCCTTTTCGGGAGCTTTCTACAAGGGTGCCGTACTATATAGGGGACCCGAAAAGGGACCCTAATTTAGAGAACTACCCACATGCAGCTTGAAGTTAAGGGCACGAAGTCAGCAAGATGGTCCTGATACGAATAAGTTGCAGGCGATCTTACTGCCTATGTCTCTGTAGTTTCAAAGGACTCTCCGGTTTGGTTATCGCCCAGGGCCCACAATCATGCTAACTCCGCCCCTGCCCGGACTTAAAATCCTTTGTTCACCATCAACTTCCTTCCCTATGTCCTTCCCTACCCCTAAACCCTAAACCCT